TCAATAATAAAATTTTTTAATTTATAATTTTTTTAAAAATTACAAATTTTTAGCTTATAAGTAACCTTAAATTATTTTTATATAATTAAAAAATAAAATTTACTATAATATTATATATATTTATAAAATTAATTTAAAAAAAATTTTAATTTTTCATAAAAGTAATTCAGAAGGAAATTTAGTAAATAAGCAGGCAAATTTGCCTGCAAACCTCTACAGTTTAAGGGATAAAGAATATTAGATTATAAAATAGTTTTTGGATTATGAATATTATGAGATAATAATCAGTTTATATCTGTATCATCCAAAGTATAGAGTGATAATCAGATTATATTTGTATTATTCAGATTTTGAAGTGAGTTATAAAGTGGTAATAAGAAATTATGAAGTGGTAGTCAAAACCTAATCTAAGTGGTATAATCTAATTAGATTAAAGAGTGTTATACTACTAGTTATTAGATAAACCGATTATAATTGACTCTTTATATATTAATGTTAATTGGATCACATCTATTTAGCATGAAGAATTAATATAAGAATTAATCGTTTTGAATTTTGTTAGTTAAATTTTACACGATTGAATATAAATAATTTAAACATTTTTAAAGATAGATTAAAGATATTATTTTGTTTGATTCTTGATAGGGTCTCGTATACATTTGTCGACACTATACTCTTTATAAAAAAAAAAAAAAAATAACAAAAGCATATCTATCTATATTAAACATTTTTCAGTGAATCCATAAGTTTGAATTTTTTAATTTAATTCAAAAAAAAATAAAAAAATTGCGTTTTGAAAAATTCCTATAAAAAAGAAGGAAAACCCCTATTGTTACTCACCTTTTTTTTTTTTTCGACACTTTTAGTTGTAAGATCTAACCCGGATCGTACTTTTTTTTTCAATTTCATTATCGTTAACATACCACAACAATAATTAAATAATGTAATAATAAATTTTCCAATAATTATAGTAATTACGTTAAGTCTCTAAAAGATAAGTTTGAACGGCAATGTTATATCTTTTTAGTTTGGTCAATTCACCAAACGATTTTCATCTCACATCTGTGTACGACGGATGTCCTTTTTTTTGTATATATATGATTTTATAATAATTAAAAAATCACACTTGAAATTTGTCATTGAATTAAATCCATTTTTGTAAACACATGAATTAGAATTACCACGTGTGTTCTGCTTACCTTTCATATTAAGAAATTTTTCAGTTTGGTAAGATTTTCGGTGTGGACTAACGATAAATAGCCTTGAAAGATAAATGATTTTCTTCGATGTATGTATACATGTTCAAATTTATACTTGGAAAAAATTGTCTTTAATTTCTTTAATTTATACATAGTATTTTTAAAACAAATCCGGCATGGAGCATTTCTTTTAGAAAAGAAAATAAATTCATATTGAAAAGGACAATTTTGTAATTTAACTAAATCCTTTATTAGATAATCATCATGAAAAATTTCGTAGATCCCCCCGAGGTTTTGAAAATCTATCAGATATCTATTCCGATTTCCAAATTAAAAAAAAATCTCTTTATATCAAGACAATTGGAATAAAAAAAAATATCATTCAGTCCTCGAAATGCTATTTCACTTTTTCTCCTCTTGATAGAATTGACCCGAAAAAAAAATTTAACTTAGTCTTCACAAAAAGTACTTTATCATGAGTAACATTGAAAGTTCGCGCCCTTCGATAGAAGAGGCACCGCTTACTCCAATGACAGAAATTCCATACGATTCTATCGCTCCAAGCACAACAAGAGATTCAATTATCACATACAGTACTGACTTGGGAGATAGCAGTATGACGACAGATAACGTATATGAAAATAAAGAAAAGGAGGTACCCTCAGGAACACCCAACCCTCCAGCTTTTTATCGTCGAAAACGCTTTTGGGCGTTATGCGCAGCGATTTCTACCATTATAGCCGCCATTTTCATACCCCTTCTTTTCTTGGTTATAGTTCCAAACGTGGCTCAAAGCACGGTTAATAAGTCACAGATCCAATTTCATGTAATAAACATCACACAGGCAACCAATGATGGTTTCTTGGTTGAGATGTCAGGAGTGGCTTCAAATGCTGGCAATTTTGACGCTACATTGACATTTAATGGACCCTTGAGCGTTATATATAAAGGTAATAAGATTGGTACGGTTAAATTAGACGATCTTAAAGTTTCCGGAGGAAAAGGAGATGTATCAGGGATTAATAGTTTTACCATTGTCGATAAACAAGCTTTTGAACAGTTCACAGGTGATTCGATGGTAGATGAATTTTTTGAATGGACACTTCAAGGAAGTGCGAATGTACGTGCATTAGGAGTCACCACAAAAAATTTAAATGTCAATAAAGTGGTCAAAATCCCCGGCGGTAATGGTTATAAAAGTAAATTGACGAATTTAAAAGTTAGTCAGAACCAAGATAATTCTTTTAACATGGAAATGACAACAATTTTAAATAATAGTTCCCCTCTTTGCATGGAACTTGGAAATTTGACCCTTCAAGTTTTAGCTGGAGATACCGCATTGGTCAACGTAACTTCCAATTATTTCTACCTTGTTCCTAACGAAAATACGTTAATCTTGTCAGGAATTGCACAGTTGCCAACAAGTGATGTAGAAAAATTAATGTTTTTAAGCGTTATTGAAGCTTATCTATCAAATAAACCCATCAACGCAACTGCTAAAGGAATATCTACTTCGCTCAATGGTGGACCGGTGGATTGGTTGGAAGCAGCTGTTGCGAGTTTAACATTACATACCGAAGTGGGAAGTGCTGATAAACCCCCACAACTCATAACATCAGTTGATCTTGGTCAAATGAGTATGCAGTTTACACCTGACACAGCTTTCTCACCGTTAATATCTGCGAAAAATACAACGGCCAATTTCGTCCCACCATTTGCCATTCCATTTCAAATTTTGTCCATACAACAAGAGTTAAATATTAATTATAATGGAAAACCCGCCGCTACAGTTCAAACCCCTGATACACCAGTGACAACCGCCAACGGTGAAATCTCCCTTGATGTTCCAGAAACTCACTTGCAAGCTTCTGATGGATTCTCTGACCTTTTGACAGCTTTAACGACAACTGATGGATCTGATGTTGAAATTACTGGAAAGGCCAACATTACGGCGAACACTCCATTGGGCCAAACTATCATTCATGAAATTCCTTTTAATGTAACTTCCAGAATGGAAGGTTTGAACGAATTTAATAGCCCCGGAGGTGCTCCCGTCGTTAACAATATTAGTGTTTTATCTGGAAGTCCCAAACAAATTATATTAGGTTCTGTCGTAACTCTTGTAAATCCTACGTTATTTTCCGTTTCCATCGGCCAAGTAGATTTTAATCTGTATTCCAACAATAGCCAAATTGGAACTGTTACTATCAATGATTTATCCATTGTCCCCGGACCTAATCCACTTGCAGTTCTCATTACTTTAGATGATCCTGCAAATAATGCTGGAAATGATGTTTTGATTTCTTATCTTAGCGGTAAAGACGCAGTTTTAAACATCAAAGGTTTCGAAACTTCAACAAAAGTAGCTAGTTTGGTACCAGCCTTCAAAGCAATCGATATTCCAACACCTTTACCTCCATTCAATCTACCACTTATCACAAAAGTTAACATTGAAGTCACT